GTTGTGGCCTTGGGGCTGGGTAGGATGGTTGTGGCTGGGGTTGGGGTTGAGGTTGTGGTTGTGGCCTGGGAGCTCCATAGGATGGTTGTGGCTGTGGGCGAGGAGCTGGGTACGATGGCTGAGGCTGCGGCTGTGGCTGCGGTTGCGGCTGCGGCTGTGGCTGGTAGCCTGTATCGTCTATTTCATTGCCCGAAGGTGGTGGTGGAAATGGCACCGATGGCTGTTTGTAATGATAACCATCCTCTTGCAGGTCACTACTCAGATGAGAAACATCAGCAAGCACTCCATTCGAAGCCAGAAAGGCAAACAGCAGGGCTAATAATTTCTGCAAAGTACAAACAAATAATAGAAAAACTAATTAGAATTTTTAATGAAAGGGAAGACGAGCAGCAATTTGAATATGTATGAAATATGAATTCAGTAAGATATTTTGCAATCAAGCATTCGTATAGGTGGCTGATTACGCAAACTAAAATAAATTTGCGTGTTTTATGCGGTCCATAATTGCTCGCAATGCGATTTACTACATCCACGAGCTAATCATCCAACCAAAATCTGCTTTTGATTTATTCAACATTCTCGACATCTACTCGGCCAAGTGAATTGAAGAATTCAGTTGAAAACAAACAAAACATCCATTAGCTATTCAAAAGTCGACATCATAGTTACTATCTAGATACACATGTATGTATACATATATGTATGTATGTGTTTGTAAGCAAAGTGTTCGTTAGTTGAATCATAGCCCGCCCTTTAGAAATGAAATGACGGTTTCATACTTTTTCACTAATTCGTGATGGTATTTACAATAAGCTGGGAACTTCGTTTGTGCTTTAAGTTCGCTTGGCTTTGGGGCTCGCTCGTTGCAGCACTTCCAAGTCACGATTTCGAAATAATTCCGGCAATATGACTAAAGCAATGCTTTTTTATCGCTGGCTAAGCCGAATTTCTCCATCGCTTCTTTTGTTTCTAATATCAATGCAATAGTCAGCTTCGCCGAAGTCTCAGATTTTCCCAGGTGACTGCAGCTTCGATTTACCAATTTTGGCACAAACAAAAATTTTCTTTGTATGCTTGTTGCATGCCGTGCTCAGCATTTCGACTTTGGTGTTGTTGTTTTTAGTATTACGTTTTTCTGTTCTTTGTTTTCACTGATGACATAAATCTGGCTGCTTAGCACACATCGTCACAGTTGGTCATAAATCACATTTTGAGCTGGTGGCATAGCCAATGCTATAATATAAGTGCATGTGTTGCACAATTCTGGTTTGCTGCAAGTTACCTTATTGCGAAATGCGAAACTAAGGTGACCGAA